AATGAATTAAGGTATTGTATTTTTGCAAATTGACTCTCTTAACACAAAAAGCATTTTAGTACACATGCTATTTAAGGAAACATGTCAAAGCATAGATGTACATGTACATGCATGCTAATACATTTAAACATACACTAGAAGAGAATCCATTTTAAATAATTTTTTCTAATACATATACCAGTACATGTTCTTATGTTGTGCCGGAAATTTTTAGCTGATTCCAATAGAAAATAATTTTAAAGAATTTTTAAAGTTGCTCAAAATCGGATAAAACTATTTGTACTATAGTACAGGGATGTTGGCTAAATTTGGCCAAAAATTAAAAGATGAAAGTTTTCAATTGTATAATTCTTCCTGATGCATATAAATGTGCTAATGCTATGTAGAAGATTTTAACTGACACCCGCTTACAATTTCCTTAAAAAGCCACCAGTGTGACCTCCAGTATAAAAATGGTACTGTAATGAGAAAGGATTAGCCAGACTACCCACGTAGAGACAGGACCAACGTAATATGGTATATGTAACCAGTCAGCAAATAAAAATAATTCCAGAAATCCAAAGAATGGCCATGAATGCCACCTGTTAAAAATACAGTGTTTTAAAACACTAGAATGAAGTGAGGCATATGAGTTAATTATGTGTGCATGATTCTCTAATTCTCTTACTACAAATAATTTTTGCAAGTTAAGATGATTTCTTGGATCAAACTTGATATATCAAGACATTATTGATACCAATTAATGTTCGTAATTTTATTGTTATGGACGCTTGTCGAATGGCTCCAGATGATAGATCGTACAGTATGTTATACTGCTAGTTTATAGCTTATACTTTATTCTAATGTTATTAGCAACCTCCCTCTCTCCTATTGCATCTAGTGCTGCTACTAATGATATCCAGTTTGATCCACCTCCTCTTGTATCTCTTACTCCATCCTCTCCCTTTAGCCAGGAAGATAGACACTCCATTAGACACTCCCATACTTGTCCTCTGCAGTTTACTTCAATCGCTTTTAGTGTAGGTTGGTATAATCCTAAGTACAGGCCTAACTGTTTCCAGTTAGTATAATCAAACTGGTGATTTGATGTTAATTCTTGAATGACTGTAGCAAGATCTCTAATATCTGCATGTGTGTGTAATAATAATAATAACACTACATGTATATAGCGTACAAGATGATTTATTGGTAAGGAATTAATATTGGCGATTGGCAGTCCTATGAAGAAATCGCCAATATAAAATCCACCATTTTGTTTCAAACTGAGCATGCTCAATGGCAGATTATGGCACATGGCACATGGCACAAAACCGCCAATATAAAATTCACCAATAACTTTCTACAGGCAAATTCTCCAAATATTACTCCTGCCAATAAATCATCTTGTACAGTACTCTCTTAGCCTTACCAAGCAGTTTATCAGTCCGTATTTCTTGAAGTTTATCGTCGATCTTAACTACATCAATATCTATACATTATATTAAATACCAATAATGCCTGATACACACACATGTTTGTATAGTTCAATGTACACATCTTACCAGACTGTCCTTTCTCTATTGAAGTACTTCCATGTTTCTGAGATTCATTCAAAGTGTTGGTTGTTGTTCCTTTATCTTTATTATTATTACACTTTACTCCTCCATCTCCCTACACACACAATATAGTAAAATAATGATGATGAGGAGTGTTTCTGTTACCTTAATATCAAGATCAGACTCATTGATCTGTGTAGAGGATGAGGCTGAGCTGCTCTTATTTTGACTTGTTGGCTCTAAACATGTGCATAGTATAAGAATGGAAAAACAGTTATTGTTATAAAGTACACTCCCAATACTCCACAATTGTGATACTGTACTGTACATATTATCACATACCTGGAGTCAATGGTGTGTTGAATTCTTCAGTTATGTCAATGGCTTCCTATATAATAATAATAATAATAATAATAATAATAATAATAATAACTGATATTTGTCATTGTGCAGGTGATATACATCAGTAGTGTATCGCTGAAAGGTCAGTTTCACAGATATATTTTTAGTAGTAAAAGCCACACAATGACAACCCACAATTATGACAAAGACTCAGTAATTTGATAAGAAATAAAATAACTTTTTAAGATATGATTTTGATTATTAGTGCTTGTATTAATGTATCAAACAGTTTGTGCATCTTCATTCTTACCTTAATATCACGTCCTCCTAATAGTGACAGGTTACTAATATTTAATAATGATTCATCAGGTAAGATCTCCTTCAATTCTTTATGCCCTTTATCACTCACAAGAAATGGTCTTCCTTCCTTAATTGCTG